CCTCTAAAATTACCCAGTTCAAAGTTAAAATCCTACTGAAAGGTACTCTGAGCCAGTACTAAGGATTCAAATCCTTGATGATTTCTGTTCTGAGTTAACCCTGAAATATTATTTTACCCCAACAAGCTCAAACTCGACCTGAAACAAAGACAACAAGAATTCTAGCTAATAGTTCAGAATAATAATAGCTTGACTTGAAAGTATTTTCCTCTGTTTTATATGCCAAAGAGTGAATAAATGATTTGTTTCGAATAGATTGCCATGTTTGTTTAATGCTAGCAGCCTTCAGTGAAGACTAATGCGTTTTCAGCGTGTGCAAGAATGGCTCCGTGTTGGGAGGGTCCTGCCCCGGGGGAACTGGCATCCAGGTGGATGACTGGACTTTTTGCATCCAGTGCAGCAAGTCTCTTCAGGTTCTTCCTGGAAGAGCCTCTGCAAACTGCTTTAGCCAAGGGTTAGGTGAGAAATAGGTTTACACTTGGATGCCTGAGCTGTATCACCAGTGGAGAATCACCCTGCCAGACAGCTTACCTGCTATGAACGGAATCTGGGAGACTCTGATACGCCAGTCTACACCAGAACACACAGGCTGGACTGCTCATTCTGACCAGTTTAAAGTTGGCTGGGGTAACCTCTTGCTTGTTTCCTTGTAAACACAAGAATCCTACATAGGGGCAAGATTCTTGCCTCAAGTTCATATATCTTTTTCTTTTTCAAGTTTCTTGAGCACTTGGTGCTGGGTCCTACACTAGGAGCTTTACACGGATTATTTCAGCCCTGTGGTAAGAATCACTTAGGGGCAGCTGTGGTACAGACTCTAAGCCACACTGTCAGGGTTCAAGGAAGCTCTGTGAGGATGAGGTCCACTGGTATCTGGCACATAGTAGGTGCTCAGTAAATATTTGCAGAATGAATGAATAAATGAGCACAAATGCTTCTGTCTCTTTTTAAAATCTTAAGAAATTATTGTTCACATGTAAGTATTAGGAGCTGAGCCAACAACCTTCACCAGATCTCTCTTCTTGTAGGTCTCATAAATTTGACCACACAGTTAAGTGGAAAACAGCTTAGAATAAGGGAGGGGGGGAGGCAGCTCAAGAAGACTCTTTAATATAGGTTAGAATTTTTAAATTGGTCCTGAAATTAGGTCACTGCTCAGCACAGGATACAGAGGGAAAAGTGACTGTAATACTTAGCAATAGGAATCTCTGTTATTTAGTCTCACTGACGTGCTCTGAACATCTCCTGGAGCAGAGGTCAGCACACTTTTCTATACCTGGCCAGATAGTAAGTATTTTAGCCTTTATGGGCCATACACTCTGTCTGAACTAGTCAACTCTGCCATTGCAGTGCAAAAGGAGCCATCTTAAAAAACAAAAAGAATATGGCTGTGTTCCAATAAAACTTTATTTACAAAAACAAATAACAGGCTACATTTGGCTCATGGCATAGTTTGCCAAGCCCTGGTCTAAAGCATGTCTAACTGTAATAAATCTTCTGTTCCATCTCTCAGAGAGGGCCGTGCAGCTAATGCTGCATAGTTCCCTTTTTTAAGACATTAAGTACACCATATATCTTTTACATATCTAAGCCTTTGACCTTGAAAACTCATTAAACAGCACACCATGAAATTTATTTAACTCTATTATCTTAGACATAAAGAGAAAGGAGTTTGTAGATCATAAGATTTTCTTGAATGTGTTAAACTGACACAATGTACCATTTTTTAATGGCCTCAAATGAAATCTTAATTTTATGGAATCTTATTTTTATCCTTTTTGCATCTCTGAGCCTTCTCATCCTCTCTCTTTTTTGTATGTTGTGTGTGTATATATGTTAAAATATACATAACAAGATTACTCTAGTTTTAAGTGTACAGTTCAAAGTACATTCATACCAGTGTGCAACCATTACCACTATCCATCTTCAGAACTTTCTCATCATCCCTCACTGAAACTCCACAAAACTCTTAATTCCCCATTCTCCCTCCCCCCAAATCCTGGCAGCCACCATTCTACTTTTTATCTCTATGAATTTGACTATTTAGAATATTTCTCCTTTTGTGTCTGGCTTATTTCTCTTAGGATGCCTTCATGGTTCATTCATGCTGCAGCATGGGTCAGAATTTCTTTTCTTTCTAAGGTTGAATAATATTCCATTGAGTACACATGCCACATTCTGTTTGTCCATTCATGTGTCAATGGGCTTTTGGGTTGTTTCTACCTTTTGGCTACTATGAATAATAATGTTATGATCACTGGTATACAAGTATGTTTGATTCGTTGTTTTCAGTTCTTTTGGGAATGTACCTAGTAGTGGAATTGGTGGATCATATGATAGTTGTTAAGTTTTTGAGGAATCACTAAACAGTTTTCCACAGTAGCTGCACCATTTTACATTCCTGCCAATAATATGCAAGGTTTCCAGTTTTTCCACATTCTTGCCAACACTTGTTTTGGTTTTTTTTGTTTGTTTATTTGCTTGGTTGGTTGGTTAAAACAGAATGCTAATGGATGTAAAGTGGTATCTCACTGTGGGTCTCACTTTTTTTATGTCAGTGTTTGTAGTTAGTGTAAAAAATAGTTCATTTAGACACTACATTAATCTGTGTCTCATCTCGTGCAAGTTATATACATATTTTTTACATATATGTACATTTATTCCTCTCCTAGCTCCAAAATTATGTGAGATGGCTTCTAAGGATATGAAAACAATAAGATAAATAATATTTAAGTAGCTAAATTCATTGCATTGGGGATATAGAAGACTAAAAAAATGAATCCATAGCCGAAATTGGATGAACCTGAGAGTGTGTTGTAATGTCCTATATAATTACAAAAACTAAAGCAATAAATTCAATCCTGAACCTCCTAGTGGCCAAAGAAAGAAGGGAAAGAGGGCCAGTAACATGATTCATTTATTCTAGATGATGAAAGCTCAGGAACAACGCTTTTCTTGGCTCATAGATGTAAGAAATGAGCTATAACTATTTTTAAACAGATGATTATGTTACACCAGCAGATTGCAGGCTGAAAGCAAACAGAATTTTTGGTAAACTTAATGATATTGGAATTGGGAATGACTCCCCTAGCCTGATCATTATAAAACTTTTTTGTGTGTTAAATGGTAGTCTCAAAGTACAATTAGGAAAATAAAAAGTCAATTCCACATATCTCAGCAGAGCAATAACGTCTGTTCCTTTGGACTTTAGTCACTACGTAATGTCATACAACACGTAAGATATTGAACTGCCTCATACGCATTTATATATGTACCTGGCATGTCCTTCCCAGGTCACAGATTATAAACGCATATGTTATTTGTACAAATAATATTCTTAAGAATATACCCTCATCTTCCTTTTGGAAGGAGGGAAAGCTCTTCATGTTCAAATCTGATATTGAAATGTCTGCTTCAACATGAAACTATGGGAATTAATGTATTATTTTCAAATTTATACCAGAAAAAAGACTTCATGATGACTGGATATGTTGTCAAACCAGCTTTCAAGCAGTTGAAGAGCAAAGAAAATTAAAAATAAGAATAGAAGCCATATCAAACAGATGTTTTTAAAGAACTGAGAAAGTGTCAAAATTACTTGAAAATGGGAAGAACTGGTCTTAAGTTTTACCAGAAGTTAGGATGAAAGATAAGAATAACTGGCATTTCTTGAGCATTTACCATGTTCTAGGCACTGTTCAAAGTGCTTTGTATTAACTCACTCTTCTAAACAAAGTTAATACCTAATGATCATTCCTGTTTTATAGATAGGGAAACTGAGGCATGGGGCAGCTAAGTATCCCTGCTCCAGGTCGTGTTAGATGTAGGATTCACACATAACCATGCATTCTGGCTCCAGTGGCCACTCACTTACCATTAAGCTGTACTGCCCTTTGACGTTACAGCAAATGAACCAAAGAAGTATTACCAGTGGGCAAAGTAACATCTCAGATTTCTGTTGTGTCCCTATAATTTCTTTTTTAGGGTTTTTTTTTTTGGTGATAAAACTTACCTTAATTGTCCTTGACATTTCCCTTAATATCCTTGTACAGAATTTTTAAAGATAAGTGATTAAAAAAATGAGAAAAAATTGAATGATAAAACCTTATGCAGCTATTATAAGTTATGGTTTTACAGCGTTAAGAACATGGGGAAAATGTTTATAAAATGAATTAAGAAGCAGGATGTAAATTTATTGGAAGCCCAGCTTCCCCACTCCACCGCCTGCCTGAACTATTAAAAGAAAGATGGAAAAGTTTAAATGTGGCTGTCACTGGGTAGGAGAGTTAAAAATAACTCCTTTTCTTATTTTTCTTAATTTTCCATAAAATTTACTTGAATACTTTTAAAGTCCAAAAAAATGAAATAAACTTCATGTTTTAAAAAGCCAATCAGAGTTATTCTTTACAAAAGCATGATACCAGGTTCTTAGTGATAATCTTATTGTATAATTTAAAATCATTTCCACTCAGCCCCATGCTGTATGAGTGAAGGTGGCACGGTTCAGAATTGCACTGCTGTGTGTAGCTATTTAATTTTAAAATAAAGTGAAAATTTCTGCAACAGTCACATTTCAAGTATTCAGTAGCCACGAGTGGCTAGTAACAGCTTTTCCATCATCACTGAAAGTTCTACTGCACAGCACTGGTTTGGAAGAAAGAACACAAAATTTGGAGCCAGATGACTTGGAATCAAGTCCTGATACGAGCCAGTACTTGGTGTGAGAAATGGACGATTTACTCAACCTCTCTGAGTCTATCTCCTCATAGACAAATTGGAACTAATGATAATATCACTTACCATGAAAGGAGATTAAGAAGATCAAATAAGATAATGCATGTAACAGTTTTCTGAAAACCATACTGTGCTTTACCAGGTAGTTGCTGCTTCATAAATCCCCCAGTTTGATCTTAATCTAGCTCTTTGTGCACTGATTCCACATCCATGAATGATTCATACCAAGAATTATGCTGAATGACACCATTAAAAATCACACTTACCAGCTCTTAGCACAGTTCCTAGGACAAGTCTTTGGTAATGTAGATGTTTCATCTCTTGTAAAAAGCCTCGGCACACAGCTCTGTATCTTCTGTAATAACACCTCAGTTTTTTACTTAACAATGTAAATACACTGCCCTATTTCCATTCCTAAATGAAAAAGACTGTCTTAAAAAAGAAAGCAAAGAAATAGGCTTTGTCTGCCAAAGAAATAAATGGGGCAAAATGCTATAACTTAAAAGGAAATCAATCTGAGTTGACAGTGCAGGAATTAAGCAAAAGATGTTGCCAACTGCTGCAAGAACATGAGGTTTTCACTGACAATTACAGCTGGTTCTCTATGCTTCAAAGCTGTTGGGGTACTGATTAAGCGGAAGTACTTGCTTATTCTGATTTTTTTTTCTCCCAAGTCACTTCTGGTTTTTCCTGCAAAACAACTTGCTTAATTTAGACTGTTTTAACGCTGCATATCCAGAGCGGTCTCCATCTTCCTCCTCATTTAACCACCTGACAGTTCAGCGTGAGTCTTGTATGCCTTGGGGGAAAAAAGAAAGGAAGGAAAAAGGAGTCAAGTTCTGGCTCGGCTCGGCGCAGATGCCACACTCATCCTTTCCCTCCTGCCTCCCCCAGGTTCCCTCCAGCCGTGGATGCCTTTGACATTATGACCGCAGAGGATTCCACCGCAGCCATGAGCAGCGACTCCGCCGCCGCGTCCTCGGCCAAGGTGCCCGAGGGCGTGGCGGGCGCGCCCAACGAGGCGGCGCTGCTGGCGCTGATGGAGCGCACGGGCTACAGCATGGTGCAGGAGAACGGGCAGCGCAAGTACGGCGGCCCGCCGCCCGGCTGGGAGGGCCCGCACCCGCAGCGCGGCTGCGAGGTCTTCGTGGGCAAGATCCCGCGCGACGTGTACGAGGACGAGCTGGTGCCTGTGTTCGAGGCGGTGGGCCGCATCTACGAGCTGCGCCTCATGATGGACTTCGACGGCAAGAACCGCGGCTACGCCTTCGTCATGTACTGCCACAAGAACGAGGCCAAGCGCGCCGTGCGCGAGCTCAACAACTACGAGATCCGCCCCGGCCGCCTGCTCGGCGTCTGCTGCAGCGTCGACAACTGCCGCCTCTTCATCGGCGGCATCCCCAAGATGAAGAAGCGTGAGGAGATCCTGGAGGAGATCGCTAAGGTCACGGAGGGCGTGCTCGACGTGATCGTCTACGCCAGCGCGGCCGACAAGATGAAGAACCGCGGCTTCGCCTTCGTGGAGTACGAGAGCCACCGCGCCGCCGCCATGGCGCGCCGCAAGCTCATGCCCGGCCGCATCCAGCTGTGGGGCCACCAGATCGCCGTGGACTGGGCCGAGCCCGAGATCGACGTGGACGAGGACGTGATGGAGACCGTGAAGATCCTCTACGTGCGCAACCTCATGATCGAGACCACCGAGGACACCATCAAAAAGAGCTTCGGCCAGTTCAACCCGGGCTGCGTGGAGCGCGTCAAGAAGATCCGCGACTACGCCTTCGTGCACTTCGCCAGCCGCGAGGACGCCGTGCACGCCATGAACAACCTCAACGGCACCGAGCTGGAGGGCTCGTGCCTCGAGGTGACGCTGGCCAAGCCCGTGGACAAGGAACAGTACTCCCGCTACCAGAAGGCGGCCAAGGGCGGCGGCGCGGCGGAGGCGGCGGTGGTGCCGCAGCCTAGCTACGTGTACTCCTGTGACCCCTACACGCTGGCCTATTACGGCTACCCCTACAACACGCTCATCGGGCCCAACAGGGACTACTTCGTGAAAGGTTAGTGGGGGCTCTTCGCCCGGGTGGGCCGAGGGAGCTGCGTCCACCAGGCAGGCGGCGTTGGGGCTGTTGTGGCTGTCATTTACTGGTCTGGTGGAGGCGACCCCTGCCCACCCTTGTCTGGGTGTCCAGTTCTGGGTTCTGTTCTTTGCTGGCACTTAAGGCATTCACTTCATTAGCGCTGAGAGAAATGCAGCTCATTCGTATGAATGGGGGTAGTGGTAAAATCATGGGGGCACGCCAGCTCTTGGCGTTCTGCCTTAACAGGGCCTACCCAATTTGCGGCTAGTCCCTAGGTCTCTGATTTCTTGGGTTGAAACCTACTTGTAAAATTAAATCTTTAGAATGTTGAGGAGAAGGGGGCGCAGTGTTGTTGGGGTTTTTTGTTTTTTGTTTTGTTGATTTTAATCACTAGTTAGCCTACAATGAAACCAGGCATTACTCTAGGAAACAAAATACTTAGGTTCTGGGTCCTGCTCTGCAATTAGCTGGCTCTGTAACTTCAGTAGTCCCTTTAACCTCCCCAGGCCTGCTTTCTCATGCATAGAATGAGGAAGGTGAGCTAGCAGTTCCCCTTCCCCATCTAACTTTTTGTACAGTCTGTGAACATTTTTATTTATTGAAGTTGCAGTCGCAGTTCTAGGAACTCACCTTTCAAGTTCATCTCTTGCATTAATCAGATGTCTTAGGATGCATCTAGCTGGAACAGAATGTCTGAGCATCTTCCCAGCTGGCTGAAGAGCAGAGATGTAGCCACCTGCAACTTAGACCTGGGGCAAACACCTAAGTGCCAAGAACCTTGAGTTAAGCTCTGCCTTCTGTACTGTCACTATTGGCGGCTCATCACCTTTTGTGTTTTTATTATAAGCAGGCAGCATAAGAGGCCGGGGTCGAGGTGCGGCTGGCAACAGAGCCCCGGGGCCCAGGGGTTCCTACCTTGGGGGATATTCTGCTGGCCGCGGTATATATAGCCGATATCATGAAGGAAAAGGAAAACAACAAGAAAAAGGATACGAACTTGTACCGAATTTGGAAATCTCTGCCGTCAACCCAGTAGCCATTAAACCTGGTGCAGGTCAGTATAAACCAGAGTGAGAATGCATCTATTCAGCCTGAACCCCAACCCCCTCTTTGAAGTGACCCCAAGACTTCCTTGGGTACTTCCCTCTGCCTGTGGGTTCCTCTTCTCAGAGCAGCCGGAGATTAGGCAAGGAAGGTGGCCTCCTGGGCCTTCTTATCTAGAACTTAGGGGGATAGTCTAGTTTTGACCACATTCAAGTCAAACTTTCTGGTGGTGGGTTTTTCAAATGGGCGGGCACCAGTTGTTAGGCTTTTTCTCAGTTAGGCAGATTCTTGGGTTCGGGGAGGGGGCAGGTTGGGTAGAAAAATACGAAGCTCTTCTGTATCTTCTACCAGCTAAAAACTTTCTTTTCCTTACTCAAGCCTGTTTCTACCCCAGCCATTAGAAGCCAGAGGTTGCAGCTCATTGCTGGTTCTGAGCGTTGTTGGGAAGGGTAGAAAATTCCCCTTCAGGAGCAAATAACATGACTTGTCCTTGACTTGTCCTTTGTCCTGGTCTTAACAAACCAGCATGCCTGGGGGCAAGGCAGCAGTGAAAGTTTTTGCAGCTAATTTCCAGCTTTTATTTCCTCCTCTTGCTGAATCAGTAGATTTGGGGTGGGGGCGCTCAGGTAACTCAAGCCATGGACCTTAAACTTTGCTCTCACCCTCCGGGCTCCACAAGCCAGTTTTCCAACATTGTTTGTGCCCATTGGTCATTTCACGTGAGATTTTCCTTGCGATCGTAACCTGCAAGGAGCTGTATTTAACTCCATTGTGTGAGCCTGGCACAAACTCCCTAATTGCACACACCGCACAAGCACCCAAACACATGGGAAATCCGATGTGATCCCTTCCAAGCTCAGCCGCTCAGATTTTCTGCTACTATGCACTCCCTCCCTGGCTGGAACAGACCCGGGGGAGCTGTGCATGTGGGATGTAGGTTGGCATTGGCCACATAGGGCTCACAAAGCATTTTCCCAGAGCTTTCTTTTGAAGTAATCAAGTGATTTTTTTTTTTAATGCCTATGAAAAAATTCTGCAATTTTTGCAGTTAAGTGACTAAATTTTCTAATGAAGGCCATTGGTGCTCTAAGCAGTGTAAGACTGATCCTGTTTCTCTTGTAATTCCATTTAACAGAGCCTGGGAGTTGTCCCTTCTACTTGTTGGGAAAGGGACTCCTGTTGGCAGTAGCTTAAGTGATAGCTTAGGATTCATCTAAAGAAAAGAACTCTTAAACAGTCTTTAAGCATATAGTTGTGTTCTGGGGCATGAGGTAGAAAATATTGTGGGCTGATAACCAGAATAGTCCAGAGTTACTCGGTACAGCCCCAGCGGTGCTCAAACTCATAATCCTTTCTGGGCCCCATCCCCTGGCCTCTATTTCTGATTCATCCAGAAAATTAGAACTTTGTATTTTAGGAGAAGCACAGGGCAGTAGTAGTGAAGTATCTGGGCACAAGACCATATGGTTGGAAAGGCAGATAAAAGATTTTATTAAGTTCTTCAGTGTATTTTATTGAATGGCTGTATCATTGTTAAGCCTGCAGTCATTTCTCTCTGCCTTATGTCAGGTCAGCTTTTATTAGAAGAAATGTACCTACAGTTGGAGAAAAAACTTAAGTGGAAGGACATTTTGTGTTTGCATTTCAGTATTCTTACTCATCCTTTCAACACACACACACACACACAGGACACCACACACACACTCTCACACAAACTCCCCCAAATCAGGGCTAGTATTTTTCCTTTTACCTCTGTTTATTATACATTGACATTCACTAACTGCTCTCTCTTTGAATCTCTGGTTGAAATGAGTCCATTTTTTATTATGTATTTTTCCTCGAATCAGTAGTGTTGAATTCTGAAATCCAAGATGGGGAGGATGTACACAGACCTCTAGGTTCTCAGAATGAAACCCTCAACGGCACCTGCTTCTTTAAACGTGATGAAAGTGAAAAAGGGCAGCAGATCTGGTAGTGAGTGAGGTGAGGGACAAGGACCCAGCAGGCTCATTCTCACACCCTTGGGCCTCAAGCCTCCGATCTCACTTCTTCTGAGCCAGTTTTCTCAGAATTAGAAGGCCCTTTCTTGCTCTGTAGGACCTCAAGAGTAAGAGTCAAAATGTGGTTTTTCTTTTAGAAGCAGTGGGAAATGTTGGCACAGAAACCTAACTGTAGACTTGCCTTCCCTGATAATCTCTGGGGAGACCCCATCCATCCCCGCGTGGTTCCTTTTGAAAAGCAGGCAGAGGGAGTACCTGCCACCTCCCCTCTCTTCCTCTTGGGTAGCACCTCGCTACCTTATATGGAGAGAGCATTAGTTTGCCAGGAGAGCCCCTTACTGCTAAACTGTTTTTAAGGATGTTGAGAAACTGATGGACCTCTCTCGGTGACTGGGAATGATTGACCCACGTCCCCTCTTCCTTCTCTTGCAGTGGCCATCCCTGCCATCGGGGCCCAGTATTCCATGTTTCAGGCTGCTCCAGCTCCTAAAATGATGGAAGATGGCAAAATCCACACAATGGAGCACATGATCAGCCCCATCGCTGTGCAGCCCGACCCAGCCAGCGCCGCCGCAGCTGCGGCCGCCGCCGCGGTCATTCCTGCTGTGTCCACGCCACCGCCTTTCCAGGTAGGGTCCTTGCTGCAGCCATTGGCACTTGTGTGAGGCCTCGTTTATCACTGATTCATTTAATATTCGACAGGAGAGTTATACTGTGTGCCTTGCTGTCTGTTAAAACTGTGGGATTGGGTGACAGAGAAGTTTTTTAAGATCAGTCATGACAGGATGGATAAGTTTTAAATAATAATTGTACCACCCTACTATCACTGTATTAAAGATGGGAAGCAATATGCAAAAATGACATAATTTCTCACAGTGTCATAATATTTAACGTCTTAATGACACTGGATTTTTCACTCATGTTCTTATTGTTAAGGAGCTGACACAGAAAGTCCAAGGAGATATTTCACATTTTTACATCCCAGATTATAGTTCAATGAAGATTTTTTTTAAGTTCTGCCCCTCCTTTCCCCTCCTTCCAGAATATATACATATATGTGTGTGTGCCTGTAGAGAGAAATGTCTGTAGAGTTAAAGGTATATGAAACTTTACAAAATTTGCCTGTAATCCTTTCTTCCAACCACAGCCAACTATTCCTGTGTCTCCTCCCAGTCCAGTCCCAGCCTCCTTCCCCACCTCTACTCAGAGTGTTCTCTCTGTGGTTTCTTCAGTCTCATCTCGTCTCTAGAATCTTTCCCGTCCACCTCGCTCAGAAATCATCTCTCCTGTACTTCTCCGGTGTTAGTTGGCATTTGACTGCCAGTATGTTCCATGTCCCCAGTTAAAACAAAACTCTCCCAGACCAAGAGCTATGGCTTGTATTTCATTGTATCCGCAACACGTAGCACACAAGGAATACCTGTAAACGATAGGTCACTCATCCAGACAGGAAAATAATCTTATTAAAGCTATCCTTTGTGACGCAGTGAATCTCAAATACGTTATCAATCGACAAGCGTAAATACTCAGGCCGGAGGGTGTCTCTTATCTAATTGGATAAGAATTATCCAGGTAACTTGTTTATAAAACAGAGATTCTTAGCCTCAAACCCCAGAAGAGTCCCAATTCAGCAGAACTGGGCTGGATTCTAGAATCCATATTTTGTTCCAGCTCCTCGGTGTTGCTGGAACAGAGCCAGGCTTGGGAGCCCCTGCTGTTTACTTGCTGTTGCCTACTCAGCACCAATCTTTTTTTTTTTTTTTACTTGACATATAGTCAGTTACAATGTGTCAGTTTCTGATATACAGCATTAATGTCTCAGTCATGCATATATACACATATATTCTTTTTCATATTCTTTTTCATTAAAGATTACTATAAGACATTGAATGTAGTTCCCTGTGCTATACAGAAGAATTTTTTAAAATCTGTTTTTATATATAGTGGTTAACATTTTGAGCACCAGTCTTGACTGCATTATCCAGAATGGGTCAGACTGACGTTTATTTATCAGTATATTATCAAGTATTCTTTAACTTGGGACTTCCAAAAGCCCAAAAAAGGAATAGGTTGGAAATGACTCACATTGTAGTTTTCACTGTGGCCTGACTATAAATAAATACAGTAACCTACAAGCATTACTTAGTGGAATTCTGCTAATAATTTTTAATCCCTTTGTGAACTTTGGTCTTTGCTGTATGGTCTGAGTTCTGGTTGGGCCCAAATTCTAGGCTTCGTGATCAGGTTCCGGGTCTCAGGCCATTTCTATCTTGTATGAGTATGCACTGGATGCTGCCCTTAGGGTCTTCATTCAGAGTTGCGGTTTGTGAATTTGTTACACGTACTATCATTATCAGTTGATTCCTATGGAGATTTTTTTTCTCCTTCAGTATGTTCTGCAGAATGCCTGGCACTGCTTACTTTGTAACCTGAGTGTGGCCTCTTTGAGTGTGTGCAGTCCTGCTGCTGTCCCTCAAATCTCAGTACTCTGTGTCCTGCCTCTGAGCTCCTTGACCAGGGTTCTCTGACACATCCAGTCCTCCGCCTCCTCTGTATTCTCTGCCAGACTGCAGCAGGGGAAGGAGCAATTTAAGCTCTATGGATTGGTGAACAGGACACATTTTGGAGTGGAGCCACGCTGGAAGTCAGTTCCCAGCATGGCTTCCAGAACCTTCCTGTGGAACACCTCCGATCTTCCTCCTCTGTTTTGCAGGGGCTCTGGGGTGTTCCTATATAGGCAGTTTATATCCCAAGTTTCATATTGCCTTTACAAGCAATAAAAAAAGTTTGCTGGTGTAGACAATCACTTGATTCATATTGACTTCTCAAAGTGTTCTTAATCATCACAACAAGTCAAGTATAGGTAGAGCAAAGAGAAGCCTTCCTTTATTTGTTCTTAAGTGCTTCCTCTATTTTTCCAATTATTTTATTTGTTTATTTATTTATAAATGGAGGTAGTGAGGATTGAACCCGGGACCTCATACATGCTAAGTACACACTCTACCACTGAGCTATACCCTCCCCGCCAACCATTCTGTTTTTGAGAGGAGGGAAAATGAGGTCTTTTTCTCTCTCTCTCCCCCAATTCCCATGCTCAGCCCAACCCCATCTCACTCACCTGAGCCCAGGTGTTGGGCTAGACTATAGTACGTGAAAATTTTCTGTCAGATGTCACCTTCCCTGCAATTCCTTCCCTTTGTGCATTTGTCATTAAACAGATTTCCACACATTTGGAAAAGATGGATTGTGTCTTGCCTATGAACGTTTCTCTCCCTGGTTGTAAAGTGCTGCTAATGAGATGTTCATTGCGGCTGTGTTGTAGGAGGCAGGAGAAGGCAAGGCTAAAAGCGCAGATTCCAGAGTCCCACATTCTGTTGCTTAAAAGCCGTCACCTTGTGCAAGTTGTTTAAAACATCCAGACCTCTCCATATAATCATAGTACCAGCTTTGTTGGTGGCTGTGATGATTCAATAATGTCATACAACTAAGGCACTTAGAATAGTGTCTAGCAAACTATGATCTCTGTTATTGTTATTGTTTGCTATAGTTATTATTTTGGTTACAGTTAAAAAAAAAGACTCAGATTATGAAATTCCTTTGAATGTAATTTTGTGACTCAAATTTTCAGATTTTGTAGAGGAATGATAAGTAAATTCCTTTGTAAAGATCATTTTTAAAATCTAATTCTCCATTTCATATATCCTGAGTTGTTTCTTTTGAAGTTACATTAAGACAGAGAGACCATAGCTTCAAGTACTACAGGGCATTCTATGGAACATATGGTAAACCAGTTATTTTGGGGTTTGGGTTTTTTTTTAATTAAATTTTAATTCAAGCTTTAAATTTAAAATGTTTCTGAAGCTGATGAAGCTTCAAAATGGAACATAATAAAATGAAAAAAATTCAATATATTCTCCTTAAACAGCCAAACACAGCCTTCAAACACAAAAGCACTAACAGTTGATGCCTTGGCTTATTTTGGCAAACTGTTCATATTTTAATTAAAATAAAAATGTGTAAATTCTGCTACACAGCTTATCACAATGCTTAATATACACAGAAAATGTGACTTTAGTGCATACCACTAGCAAAAGTACCAGATATTTTGTTAAATGTATGTTTTATTTTACCAAAAAACCCTTTTCCATAAAGCAGCTGGCAGAATTCACTCCATATCAAACGCTTTGGGAAATCCTGAACCACAGTCTGCCCTGCCTACTCTTATTTGTTCTGGAGACACATATGTTGCACTTCCCAGTGGAGGGAAGAAAGTGGCAGGAAGTCACAGAGCCCCACTTCCTCCTCATGTGGAAACCCCACCTTGCCCTTCCGACCCTGTCTCCAGTGTCTCCACTTCTGAGATGCTTTCTCCAGCTCCAAGTTAGTTAGTTCCTTCTCTCACCTTCCACAGCAATTTGTGAATATAGTGGTGTCCTATTTTAGGCAGGAGGTGGTAGAAACGATCACATTTGCTGAAAATTGTGTATGGTCACAGTTTCTTAGGTCACAGCTTAAGAAGCTGGCCCTTGGGAGATATCTGGACTTTGTTTGGTAAAGTTCTCCCAGACCATGCTCCTCTCCGATCTTGAAACATCGTGTGCCTTCAGTTAAGTATGAATTGAGGCAGCTGGCATGTATTTTAGGGAAAATACTCACTCTTAATTACAGTGAGATCAACTGAGGAAAGGGTGGCTCTCAACCCCCATCTCTAGCTCACTCCGGGGCATAGGCTAGTTCAGTGTGATGGTGGGCAGAAGATTCCAGAGTATTTAAATTTCCCCTGAGGCTTCTACCTCTGCCACTTTCACCAGCTGAGTCCCAGTGAGCCGTGAGGGTGCAGCTCCGCCTACTGATCACCCTCCCGTAGTATGACTGCTCACCTCTCAGCCTCCCCGCCCTGAGGAAGGAGACCTTTGCTTTCAGTCTTCTCCGACCCCTGGGAGTCGAATGAACGAATGGAGTTGTGAACGAATGGATGGGTCCCCACATGGTCAGTAAGGCTCCTCTCTCTCATCCTCAGGGCCGCCCAATAACTCCAGTGTACACGGTGGCCCCAAACGTTCAGAGAATTCCCACCGCCGGGATCTACGGGGCCAGTTACGTGCCCTTTGCTGCTCCGGCCACCGCCACGATCGCCACACTACAGAAGAACGCGGCGGCCGCCGCCGCCGTGTACGGGGGCTACGCGGGCTACATACCTCAGGCCTTCCCGGCCGCTGCGATCCAGGTGCCCATCCACGACGTGTACCAGACGTACTGAGGCCCGCGCCGCCGCCGCCGCCGCCGAAGGGACACTTCACTATTTATGAAGAAAGCGCGCGTTGGGTTCCCGCGCACAGGAAACCTGACCGCGGAGAATGTTATCAGATATACTGGAATATTTTATATACATGAAGTTTTCACTAGTTTTTTAAAGACTCTTTTCAGTTTTAGCAGGCCCGTGTTCATACATTTCTAAGAGACTTGCAATGGTTCGTGCCTTAAACACCGTCTTTGAAAAATTTGTACTCTGTAGTACATTTGTATAGAGGGTTTTTTTTGTATTTTTAAGGATATATTTTCAGTATGAAGGTTATTTTCTTAACTGCTGCACTCCAGAGACTTCTATTTTGTAGTACCTACAATAATAAATGTATCAACTATGTATTAAGAAGCACACTTGAGCAGCTAGGGAACTGTTTTGAAAAATATAGTCAATATTTAAAGATACAAACAATAGTGCTTTTAAAAAAAATACTACATAAAACATTATTTTCAAAGTTATACTGGAAAGTGCAATTTTAAAATGAGTGAAACCTCTACTTCTGCTGGAATTAAGGGTTGACGGGTGTTGCCATGTGTTACCCAGGACGGTTCTATTCTGTACACTCGATCGCTCCTTAAGCCAACGTTGAAAAGACTTGTCACACTTCTGAGTCCAAACACTGGAAAGCTCTCACGGGCCACCTTCCTCCTGGGCCCCTGCTCATTCTCCGTGTGCCTTTGCTCTTAGATTTGTTCCCTCCCCGCCCTTCCCTACTCACCCTCTCCCCTGATTCCCAGGCCCACCTCTGTGTTTGGCAAGTCTAGGACAAATTAATTACTCTGACAGAGAAAACATTTATGGCTTTTATACTTCTTCTCGGGTTTTTGTTGGGGTTTTTTGTTTTATTGTGTGTAGGGGGGGTTGTTGGGGTTTTTTTTGGTTTGGTTGGGGAGGTATTTTTAATAGCAGAGTATGTGTAAGCACAAGACTTTAATAGTTTGCATAGGACATCTTTGCATAGCTATTCAATTGTCCAGTATACAACTTTCATTCCCTTCCTAATGCTTTTATTATATTTGTTTTGAAGTATGAGTTCGTAGAGACAGAGAATGTTATTGTCGACAAGACCCCGAAGGACTCTTGTCGCAAAAAGTACTACTTCTAGTTGCCTTATCATGTTTCATGCAAAATGTCTGTGGTTGTCAAGGGTTTTGGAAATACTATGTTTATTGTATGGGGCTCCCCGCCTTTGCCATGCACGTGGCAGGTGAACTGAATTGGGGTGCGCACATCCAGGAGGAGGAGGAGAGACCCACAGGAGTTAAAAAGTAGATTGTAAATATCTCCTAATGCTAATTTTTAGTTGTTTTATGTTGCAGAAGTTCATGGTATATAGTTTAATGCACAATGAAACCATTTTATTTCAATGTTATTAAAAAGTTTTGTTTTATTAGGAAGTAAATGTATTGTTGCAGTGTTTTGTGCCTGTTTAAAGGCTTTTTTGTTTGTTTTAACAGAGTGAATGTAAAATACAGTAAAATGTTAAGATTGTCATCGACTTTATGGAATACATAACTTGGAATTTTTTTTCGTAAAAGTTCTATCAAGGAAGTGAGGTGTGCAATAGGTGACAAGGACACTGTTGTGTTTTTATGTCATAGTAGAGATTCCATCAAATCTTTCCACTCACTGAACTTTTGCTGATGGCTGAATTCTTATTTGTGGACTAATAATAGGATCCTGCCCTTAGCAAAATGTTTTAGTTTTGTTTTACATTTTAAATTAAGATATTCCCAAATGCCCTCTTTCCCCTCATCTTAGGGTGGGATGAATTTTTTATATATAAGCAATATTTATTTAACTATTCTATAAAATTATTGAGTGCCTGCGAAGGCCTTTAAACATTCCTAACATTCCTTTCCATCGTTCTTAAATGACAGAAAGTAATTGTGCAATGTTTCTGATGGTGTACCCAGCAAGCTGCATCCAAACTCAAATCTGTTGTAATGAGTAATCCAACAAAATGCAGTTTGGATTAGATCCCCATCCCTTGACTTTGTGTGAAAGAAGTACTCTCCTACTCTCATTCCAGTGAAGGACTGGTTAGCCCAGAGTTCACTGGATGAGACTCTGACCCAGAGGTCTTACTGTATTTTACATGTGCCTGTAAATTATTTGCAAAAAAAAGAAAAAAAAGAAAAAGAAAGAAAAAGAAAAAAAGGAAAAAATGATGTCTTAACATGGCAATTTACCAAACTACCTTAAAAACCAGTGTTGGTAACATAGCCAGTTAAGTATCAGTGAGCCTCCCGTCTGTGGTCTGTCTGTTCCTGTTGTTTCAAAACCATTTCACATACGTACACTACTGAGCTAAGTTTATAACTTGAAATGTGAACTTTTTTTTTTTAGGGTTAAGAACAAACTATAAAATGTAAAAAAAAGCTTTCTTGTTCTCTGTTTTCAAACATGCTACCAGTTTAGTTGTTATCTTTAGTTGCTTTGTATTTGAAAAGCTTTTAAGTTTATTTAGATTTTGCTTCATTTACAATACATTCTTAGGATGTATGTAGTAAATAAAGCTTTCTTTAAAGCAATTTCAAGACCTTATTTTAAATTGTGTTTTCTTTATACACATTCTTTTTTTTTCCTAACAAAGTTAGAAAAACCCTTACAGTGTGGAAGGAATTGACTAGTTCACTATTTTCAGATGGAGAAAATCGTATCTTTGATTTGGGATTACTAATGAAGATGAGGTACATAGTAAAAATCATGTATTATCAATGTCCTCAAACTTAAGCCCAGGTGGTAGGAGGCTGAACACTCAAAGACTACTCAGCATCTGGATTGGAATAGGATCTGGCAAAGCCTATCACTGCTCTCAGTACTGAAGTTTGTTTATAATCCCAAGAGCCTGACGCTCAGAAATCCACATGGAGGCGGTTGATACGACCGTTGAGCTGTTTGGTGGTCTTGTGAAAGTGCTGGGGCGACTTGAATGTCAGCCACCACATTGGAAACCAAAGCCTCCTGTTTCACCTTTTTACAGTGCCCAGCAAGGTCAGCAGAACACTTCCTTTTTCTCTAGAGATCATTACTAACTTCAGATAGAATCCATCAGCAAAGCCAATCAAATGATTCAAGGGAAAGTGGTAGGTTGTCAACGGAATTACCTCTAAAAATTGCCCTGCCCCATGTGTCTTTGCTATTGACTAAGAATTTTACCTTCTTAGTCTCCAGCAGCCTGGGTTATGGCCTCCCGACCCACATTTCTTAGAATTCTAACTTCCTACTTCCTCTTAAAGGATAAAGGCTTTTTCAGAGACAGAAGAGTCCAGGGAACTTCCCAAGATGACAGATCATTGGGCAGTATTTTCAAGGGCAACAAGATTTGATGATTTCTTCTTGTTCTAGGAGAAAAGTAAAAACGCCCTTCAAGTTGCAGAATCAGTTTGATTGCTCTCGTTAGAAGAAGAATTCACAATCTTATAAAATGCATATTACACCTACTAGCTGTTTGCTTGGCTTTGTTCTAGGTGCTGAGGTGGCTACAGCATGAACAAAACCAACCAAATCTTGCAGGCATAGAGCTTCCATTCCACTGGGGGAAACACAGACAAAATGAGCAGGTAGACAGTGTGTTGGGTGGGGATAAATGCAATACTTGTGTGATTCATTAGGCTCTTTGGCTTCCATTATCTCAGGACCACACAATAACTCAGTGAAGCAGGCAGGGCAGACATGTGACCCTGCCAAGGTCCCATAAATAGCTGGTAAGAACCAAGACCGAAATCTGGGCTCAGACTCCCAAGTCACAGATTCTGACAGCACACTGACCCTTGAAATGGACCGATTTGGTAGTTCCAACAACCTACTTCAAAGCCTACAAAAAGAAAGGAAAAGCTTTTCTACAGGTGTGGTTTCTTTAGCGTGTTTCCATGTGCAGCCTTATGCCTTGGGGGATGGGAACCGAAGGTAGAGTGGCTGAAATGCCTGCTTTCAGCCCAGAAGACAAAGCTCTCTAGGTGGGCTGTTAAAATTGTATATACTGGTAGATTTAAGGAATTCGATCTATAATGGTGTTTCAAGGATTCTGGAGGGAGCTAAAGAACTATTGTAGTAAGTCCACCATACCCTTCTGATTCTTCACTAGACTACATGCCCAATTTTTAAATTCCAAGACTATCTGTCATGACAACCTGCATGAGCACTTCTTTAGATGAAAGTCAAAACAACTAGAAAGCAAAATTCTAATTTTTCTTTTCTGGTGAAGGATAATCCTATGGACAGTCCAACACTTATTGGGTGCTGTGACATGGCCTGCACTGTGCTCAGTGTATTTTATAACTAACCATACTGGCTTACTGGGTCCTGTTAAGGGCATTAGGGTGCTTGACTATTTAAAAGAGATGTATATCGTATATTGCATGATATTTTTTCTATTATTACATGATATCTTTATTATAAAGTCTTCTGGACACTCAGCCTTTTATTGGAGTGGGTTTTTTTAATATATTTTTGTTGAAGTATAGTCAGTTTACAATGTGTCAGTTTCTGGTGTACAGCACAATACTTCAGTCATATAGGAACATATATTAGTTTTCAGATTTTTTTAAAAACACAAAATGTGACATTTTGGCATGGCTGTTTTGATGAAATCACATTTTGATACAATGACCCTAAGAAAAGGTATGTCTTCAGCTTAAGAAGTACTGGGTAGGACAGCACAGATGTACTCACTTTATCCTTGCCCTCCCACTTATTAACACACTGCCCATCACTCTGACCATCCAGGGTCAAGGGCAGATTAGGTTTAAAGGTAGAATGAGATTCAGGAAATGTTCACAAAGTGTTTTGCTCAGTTCCAGGTTCTAAGCTGTCAGGTTGGATACAGCCTTTTCTTCTCTTTCCCCTCATTGGTCTTCCCTCTCTAGGTGCCCAGTATTCCTTTGTTTCCTAACTCCTCACACCAAAATGTAGGCAAGCACCGTGGCCTAGTGGAACCAGGCTGGGTCTGCAGTCAGGATGCCCAGCAGGGGAACCCCCAGTGGGGGAACCCCCAGCTTTGCTATTTACCACCCATGTGACCTTGGAAAAGACGTCTTGCCTCTCTGAACACCAGTTTCTTAATTTGTAAAACAGAGCTAATAATCCTGACTGACTTAAGGTTATTGTGAAAACGAGATGAGTTAATGAATCTTTTAAAAGCCTGGGACATCCTAGACAGTTATTTCCTTTCTCTTCCTCTTTATAAACTGTAGTGTGAATGCATTCCACCGTGTTAGCTTCATTAAACCTTCCCACTTTACAGCCTTTATTCCTTTGCCAGTCATGTATCCAATGGCAGTGATGTACCAGCACAGCATGAAGCACTGGAGAGATAACTATCAACAAAATCGAGCCCCTCTGCCCTCCAGAAACTCCCTGGCATGATAAGACAGTGTTGTAAGGGCTGTGAAGGGGAGGGGCACCCACCCAGGCTTGGGCAAGGGGTTAAAAAGACTGGGCATCTGAGGGACAGGGTGAGTAGGAGTTTGGGCAGATGGGCCGGGAGAGGAGGGAACCGGAAATGCCCAGGCCCAGAAGAAAAAGCATGGTCTATTCAAGAGCCTGAAAGAAGTTTGGAGAAAGGGTGTGGAGTGAGGAAACACAACCTTTGTTCCCTTCAACACTAGACATGGTTAATTGTGTTAACTGGAGAAGGAAGAGATTTGGTCCCGATAACAAGGAAGTAGGAGGGACCCTAAATCATTCCAGTTTAGGACTTTGTGTCTCTCAGGAAATGGCGTCACCCTGCCTTTATCTAAACTGGGAGACTGAGGGATTGTCCAGCAGTCAACAGCATGATGCGTCTGAGCACTCCCCCTAGTGGACAACTCCCTCTCTTCCTTCTTCCTGACCTCCGGTGATGCCCACCAGCCCTGATCGTCCCATAGGACAATTTGTAGGGGCAGCCAAGGCTTGTAGGGTTATCCGCCCCTGGGTTCTTTAGATCCAAGTTTCAGCCTCTGGGACCTTCCATCCTTTCCTCTCCGGAGTGATACAGCAGCTACATGCGTCCAGCAGGGTGTCCCCACTCTGCCTCAGGAAACTCTACAGGAATGCAACCTTCTTGGCAAAGGTGATGGAGGCCTGTGGTCCTCCAGATGACTGCAAGGGTGGAGGAGGGTCCCAAGTAAAATCTCCAGAGATGCACTGGCTTTCTCAATGAGATTATATTTCCCTGTCACTCCGTTCTGCACAATTATACCCGCAATCAAAAGCAACACCAAACCCTTCATTTGCAAGAAATATGACCTTTCCTGAGCTAATTTTTAGCTACCCTTCCTTCTTGGCTTGTTCTGCTTTGTTTGTCAAAAATCTTCATTAATGATTAACCAACCACGAGGCTTGAATAGGCCTTAGTCATTCTGAGGCGGGTAAGACAAGTTGCTGGCGCCCAATTGTTCCTGAGATGACCTTGCTGGGGGCACTGGGTCAAGACATTTTGAGCTCATGGTACCATGATAACCTTCATGCCAGTTCTGTTTTGCTGGGATTTTTCCTC